AAATCAAGTAAAACATCTTAAAAACCACGTCATTTAGTTGAAAACCACGGCTAGCCAAGTTCGTGCCGTTTCGCATGGTTTTCACTAAACGATCAAAAACGGAAGGTGGTTTTTGAGGCGTTTTTGTTGGAGAACTATTTAAATATGCCCAGAAGTAAAAACCAGTTATAAAAATTTAAAAACCACTTGGTTGGTTCGGACGCCAAAAACCGATGCCGAAAACCGAGAGCCGAACGCCGGTTTCTGAAAGCCGAACGCCGAATGGCTTGGTTTTTGGCTGGGGCGAACTCCAAGTGTTTTGACCCAAGTTTAAACTTTAAGAAAAGTATTTTTGAATATGTAAAAGAGATTTTTATGAATTAAGCCTAGAGAGCCAAGATTTGGAATTTTGTGCCGGTCTTAATCACATTAAGACCGACTCAATACAATTCTAGTTCTTCGTTCTTGATTCTGGGTTCTTGGTTCTTAAGTCATCATGCCATGTTCCTTCGCCTTAGTTTTGCTCACTTTAGCTTCGATATGTCGCGGCGGTTTGGCATTATCAAAACCTGTCATAAACGAACACAGTTTAGTGCGACGAAGGCGTAAACCCGTGTTCCAACAGAAGGTTCCAAGGAATGTTCGTGAAGTGAGAAGCTTTCTAGGATTAGCTGGATACTATCGACGATTTGTTGAAGGCTTTTCCTCGATCGCAACTCCACTTAACAAACTTCTCAGAAAGGATGAGAAATTCTTATGGACCGATGCATGTCAGCAAAGCTTTGAGAAACTAAAGAAATGTCTGACAGAAGCACCTGTACTGACACAACCGGTACCAGGTGTAGACTACACAATCTTTAGTGACGCATCTCATAATGGCTTGGGATGTGTACTTATGCAAGACGGAAAAGTCGTGGCATACGCATCAAGGTAGTTAAAACCTCACGAGTGTAACTATCCTACTCACGATCTTGAGTTAGCAGCAGTTGTATTTGCTCTAAAGATATGGCGTCATTATCTCTTTGGAGAAACGACATATATTCACACAGACTACAAAAGTCTGAAATACTTGCTAACTCAAAAAGAGTTAAACTTGAGACAAAGAAGATGGTTGGAATTGATCAAAGACTACGACTGTTACATCGACTATCACCCTGGCAAGGCTAACGTAGTTGCTGACGCATTGAGCCGAAAGATGATAGCTGAACTCTGAATTCAGCCTACTCTTGAGAACGAAATTCACGTTGCACAAAAACGTGATGACTATTGTTTGAAGACTTGTGAACTTGTCTCCAAGGGGGAGAGACAAGATTTCACTGTAAACGATGGAATTTTATTCTACCGGAATCGTTTGGTAGTTCATAGTGGTCAAGTGAGGGAACGATTAATGCGTGAATCTCACGAAACCACGTATACCATGCATCCTGGCAGTAATAAAATGTTCCAAGATTTAAGGAAGACTTACTGGTGGCCCACAATGAAGAGAGAAATTTCTGAATTTACAACACGATGTCTGACATGTCAACAAGTCAAAGCCGAACACCAAGTGCCAAGTGGATTGTTACATCCACCTACCATCCCTGAATGGAAGTGGGAACGAATTACGATGGACTTCGTGATCGGACTTCCATTATCAGCCAAGAAGAATGACGCTGTTTGGGTAATCGTTGATCGATTAACCATGTCATCTCATTTTATCCCAATTCGACGTGATATGTCCTTGAAGAAATTGACAGAATTGTACATCCGTGAGATCGTAAGATTACATGGTGTGCCCTTGTCAATCATTTCTGATCGTGACCCGCGATTCACGTCACAATTCTGCAAGAGTTTGCAAAAGGCTCTAGGTACTAAACTCAACTTCAGTACGGCATTTCATCCTCAAACAGACAGACAATCTGAAAGGACAATTCAAATTCTTGAAGATATGATGAGAGCATGTGTAATTGATTTTGGAAGCAACTGGGAACAATACATACCACTAATGGAGTTCGCTTATAACAACAGTTATCAAGCGAGTATCCAAATGGCCCCGTACGAAGCCTTGTATGGGAGACGTTGTAGAACCCCAGTATGCTGGACAGAATTAAGTGAGCAAAGACTTGAAGGACCTGATCTCATCCGCGAAACTGAAGAAAAGGTTCGTCTAATCAGAGAAAGACTGCAAGTGGCTTCTGATCGTCAGAATTCATATGCCGACTTGAAACGTCGTGAAATCGAATACAATGTTGATGACAAGGTGTTTCTGAA